GACTGTACCTCATAGTTCAAGCCCTCCCTTGTGGCCTTTCTCGCCATTGCCTTGTTCATGGGAAATGCTCTACTCACGTCTTCCAAACCCATGCAAGAATCCCTGACACAAATAAGCACCACGCTGCACCCAGTCGACCAGATCCAGAGAAAAGATCCAGAATGATTCTGCTGGATGCACAGCTAGCCTTCTTCAGGATACATCCATGCAAACCCTTCTGTGCTGGAGTTGGGTGGAACTCCTTCTCAAGATCAGCCAGATAGGAGGTCAGATGGTCGCGTGGTTCCTTTCGGCTCTTCTTCGATGGCCGTTGTGGCCTGGTTGGCTTCTTGTCAGACGTACTCTTGTCTGGGATCTTCCTCGTGATCTTCTGGTAAGGCTCAGGCTCAGGCTGCGCCCGGCCACCACAACCCCAAGCGGCAGCCTCTTTCTCAGGAATGCAGCTCTGGTCTGTCATCTTCCTCATCTTCGCAAGGTGTTTGTCGGGTTGTCTCCTGCTAGGCAGCTGTGCCTGGCATGTGTTCTGGCATCCCCAGTCAGGCATTGCAGTGTTGTCAAGGACGGGGGAGCGAGACTTTTGATCAGTCAAGCTTCCGGATGAACATCGTACGCCATGTGACATAGAGAAATGCAAATACAAACGTTGGGGCTCATGAAATTGCACTTCCACATGCATGAGCAAGCTTCACAGAGCATGCTGCCACAGCCTTCAGCCCAGCAAATGGCCAGACTTCTTGTTTCGCTCTCATGGCAAACTCTGAGAGCGAAGTGCCTCCGTCTGTAGGAGTGGGTCGGAATGCACGTCAGGATGATGCTTCAGTCAGTATGCTCAGCCAACTGACACAATGGTAGTCGTCATAGTAATCACTCGACAGTGCACTAATACATGCGGGACAGAATCAGTGAAACCAATTCTTTTTCAGTCTCTAAACATCATCCTTGCAGCAAACGATCTCGTCTTGCCCCATTCTTAACGTCCTTGCCACATGCTGCCGGAGGCTGGATGCCAGCAACTTGGCCTTTTCACTTCCCTCTCAGTGAATCGTCAGTCAGTGAAAAAAACGGACGCCAGAGTCTCAGCGCATAGAAGTTGCCAGGAATGCAGCAACATATCAGGATGCGACAGGTCATGATCAGCCTAGACACACGGATGGCGAGACGAAGCAATCCATTCTGGACACATCATGCCTGCAATCAGGAAATAAAACAGTTAATTCAGACTCTCTCACTCAGCGCATAATCACATCATCATGGAAACTTCTCGGGAACTGGGACGCCCAGCTGCCTTGCCCCTGGCCTTCGCTTTGGCCTTCGGCTTCGTTTTCATGATGGCCTTCATGAACGTCTTTGGCAGTGTCCAGCGCTTGCGGGCCTTGTTGATTCAATATATAGACAAACTCTCTTTGTCTATCTTCTCTCTTTGCTTTGCCTTGCCTTGCCTTGCCT